CCTGAAATATGATGAGAAGTGTTGATGAGCCTGGCAATCATGCCGACCTAGGGAAGGAGCGTCTGGTCATCCTCCATGATTCTCGTTTGGCTATCTGACATTAGGTAAAGGGATAGAGAAAATCCTCTTTATAAGAATCCTCACCGCCTCTTAGCAGAATCGTGGTCAAGGGTTGGAGTGGCGATGAGCTGTCACACCATCTGGTTAGCTGCACTTGCGTTGGGGCTAGTCAGCGAATGCCAAGGTGTAATAGTATCGTTGCCAATGAGCGTGTTTGCATATTTTGATATGACGTGGGAGTAGAATCTGCTCGTTCTAAGGTTCCTAACTGAACAGTTTGAGGGGACAGACAAAATGACCTGAATACACCTAGCTAGTGAAAGTGGTGGAAGAATTCAAGACTCCCTGCATCGCCTTATGTCTCCATTTACAATTGACTCTGCACGTATGCGAGTAAGGTGAGTGTAATATCCCCAAGGCCTCACGTTTCACCACCCTGCTGATTGATTAGACAATCTACCTTCTGAGCCTACTGCAAATCATAATATCTGCAACCTTGATGTGGCTGTTTATCACATCACTGAAGCCATCACACTGGGTAATGGCACATTAGTCAGGCAAATCTGCAAGGTTTTAGAGAATTCAAACTACCGATCTCATATTCTTCTGCTCTAGCTGGTTGGGATTTATCTTGACATATTGTCTCTTGAAAACAGTTACGTTTATTGGTTTTTCTGACCCACAATAGGATAATTTCGTGTAAATGTGTTTCACTCTGCGGTCGCAGCGAGATGTCCGATTTTCAGATGGTACAATGATATGACCTTTTCAAACAGGCTGCTTTAGGGTCTACTTCGTGACACAACTGCAAAGTGTAGAGAGGGATTCGTTTAATATCCATCTAAAGATGCCTTTTGGTGCGCTGGGAGTGGTGGAATAAAATCCTAAAATTTAGTTCTACTTTAAGGAAGGAAGAGGGCATGATTGGGGTGGCGAAGGTGGGTGGTGTAACAGGATTCTAGAGGAACTTGCATTCAATTCGCTTTTCATAAGCTGTGGAATTGAAAGCAATACCACCTACATTCAACCCAGGCAAGATTGCAAGGGACACTAAGAGCAGTCTCTACTTGTAATTTGCCTATTTTTTTTGAGAAGGCAGTACGATTGAGTTCCTTTTGAACAGCCTGCTTTAAATCCTGCATTATTAGGTATTATGTCTACTGTTCCGGTGTAAAGACTGATCAAACTGACACAGGTTGCCCTCATCATGTGGAACCCTCCACGAGTGTCAGCTTCCAACTTCTCGCACTTCCAATAAGTGAGAAATTCGGTCATCGTCTTTCGTTGCAGCACCGCCAATGCTACCCTTCATCCCGTTTCACGATGTCTCGAACGGGGGTCATGTGTAGGCTGCGAAGTGCGAAAACACACGGAACCCACAGCCGCCTTTATTAACACCTCTCTTACACTAACCATTAAAATAACTTAAAAGACCTGCCATTGATGTGAACACGCTAACCATGGCTTTCACAGTTATTTGCTTTTAATGCATCTTTTACCTCAAAGTAGAAGAGGCGTTACTGAGGCAAGGGGAGGATGCGAGTACATACGTTCACATGGTTCGTTTCGAACTTCACCTTTGTCTGAGAAATCCCTATCATCCCTGGCGTCGTCTGACGAGCTGTGTCATGGTTGTGCCAGTATTATAACCCACCTTTCGCTTCTACTCTAACTTGAAATACATGTAAGCTACCGATCTCTCATTTTGTATTTGTTTTGCCAGGACTGCCAGATAGGCGTTGTTATCAACGCACAGGTGATGTGAGGGAATGGTGTTATGGTGATGGGAGTGGGTATCTGGCGCATAATTACAGACCTGTCACTTGTGTGGCTCGTGTGGTTGGTGGTGCGTCAACGTGTGGAAAGTGGGATGCGGCTGTATTTTTCTGGTGAAGAAAGAAAATATGATGAGCATTTGTGGTTAATGCTTCTGACAGATCGTGGCACTGGTGGAGTGTCAAGATGGATCAAATTTATATTCATATAACAGGACCGTTTGATACACATAGAGTGGCACAACAAAGCACCCGAAAACACGGATTTTCCGTGGAAGGAAGGAAGTGGGTGGCCGAAGACCACCAATGGGTTTCACCTTCAAGTGACAATTCGAGAACTACATAGACAAGACAAAACGCGATATACACTGAGTCTGAACAAGATTACAAGGGACTCTCAAATCAGCTTAGAATTGTGAGTTGTCTAATTCCTGAGAAGACAATGCTATTGAGATCTCCTTGACCAGCCTGTTTGGAAAGCTTGTATCTACGTAGATTTTATTCAGCTTTGCGGTAGATAGACCCCTCTAGGCTGTATTAAATGTCGCCGTGAGACTAACCACCTACAATTTTGTGCTGGTGACAGTTCGTGTCGTAGCAGGTGCGGGGTGTAGTTTATCGGTCATCACCACTTCACACTATTCCTTGTAGTTATTTACCAACAATGCTACCTTACCCTCTGCTCTACAGTGTCTGGAACGGAGAATGGGGCAGTCTACGGTGTGTTCACACACGTGAACCTACTACCACGTTTAGTAACACCGCTATGCTGCTTCCCATAAATAAACTCAAAATGTTCCTCTTCTGACCTGAAGGCACTTGCATTGGTTGAAATTCTATTTTTAATCGAGGCATTGCTTTGCTTGCTACAGAAGGAGAGCTCGTGAGGCAAAGAGAATGTGCTAATATTTACGTTTCTCTGTTTAGTGGCACGTCGCCAGAACAAGGCACGTGCTCTGAAATGAACTTGATGTCGGTGTGAGTATATAAAGGGGCGAATGGAGTAAGAGAGCAAAAGAAGAAGAAGAGGTACAAGGTGGAGGAGGAGCAGGAGCAGGAGAGGAGGAGGACGTGTGATCTATGGATCAAAAAGTAATGCACATAGTCTTTGCAATTGCAGCGACGTTTCTGTTCTTCTTCGCTATTAGCCATGGCAGCTGTAACTGTGAGGGTAGCATTATGCCGGTGCCTTCGCTTTGCTTATCACGAAGTGACAGGTGCTCACCTCTTGACATTGTGAATGCGACTGATCTCGGTTATCGCGCTGCCATGATTCTGTGCATACTTCTTTGAAGTCTTCTATTGACAAGATATTGCAGATATCCTCACCTTCAATACCCCTGCCAAGTGGACACTAAAATTCCAAGCGAAATTGCAGAAATACCACCTCATGAAATTGCCAAATTAACGGGTGCTGCAGTGAGCTTGAGGATCGTGGAAATTGGGATTTTGTGCTTTGCTACTTCAAAGATCCATGATCACCCGATTCAACAATGCGACTACCTCGTTTAACGGATCTTACTGTCCTCGTCACGTACTATCAACACTCCTTCCTGCACAGACAATCGAGAATGCCCACTGCACTCTCTACTGATTGGCATTTTAGCCAACTTCGGTTGGTTTGTTCTCATTTAAGCCGCACTTATTTCACTCAAACGGGAAACCTGAAACATCTTTATCCGCCAGATCTAGCCAGAAATTTCGATCTACTGAAATGACATTAGCAGGAATAGTTGATGACAAAGTTGGAAGAAAATGCCGTGAGAGCAGGCAATCAAAGCACAAGGCGATCGGAGGGAAGCAGATGGCTAATATTGCATTGGCGAGAGCGTCAATGTTGCACATTATCAGAGTTGCTGAAAAAACGTGGCACAGGCTATTTCTCCAATAATCTCACTTCAAACCGGATTTCAGGAAACGCTTTAATGAAAACAAATTTAGCTTCAGAGACAGCAAAAGCCTTTTGCCTTCGACGTTTTCAGCCCAAAAGTAGGATAAAAATTTGTGCTCTCGGTGCCCACCCTGAGCATGTTGGAAAACAGCTTCTTTCTCCTCAACTTATTCATACCCTACGTCCATAATGGATTTTTACTTTAAAGCTGCAAATGCTAACCTGAACTGTGACAGTCGGCGTCCTCAAATAGCCTAGGACCGACCAGAGGAGTCTTATCAATTCAGTGGTGTGAATGGACGAACACCGTCGGTGCCAAGTTTAATGTGCTGCACGTTTGACTGTATTACGTCGTCATTCATTTTCGCGGTAACCAATCCTGCAAACTTGTGAGCTTCCCGTCCCTCACACCTATCAACTTTCAGGCATGTCTGAGTTAGGTTATAAAATCACATGCAATGTCGAAATAGCTGCTGCAATTAGACCTGGATAAGCACCATTTACACAACGATCAGGGCGGAGGTAGGCGCATGGAAATTCATTCAAAGCATATTGCGTAACACTAACCAAAAGGAATCAATAATTTGCACCAAAGCCGAAGCATCCAGTGACGCACACAACTTCGTGAAGCAGAACTCTGAGAAGAGTCAACTGGGAGGTGTCTTAGTGATGTCGAGAATGGAGGGTTGTTCATGCGAATCGGAGTCGTGTGAGTACAAAAGCCGTTTCTCATAGCAGGTGGGATGAAGGAAGTGAAGAACTGAAGAGTCATTGCATTAAGCTGAAACGCAGTTGGCCAGTTCTCTCGACTTCTCCAGTTGATTGAGTTGCGGCATAATTGTACTTGTTACCCCAATCTGTGGTGATGCAATTATGAATTTTAATCGTGAAAGGAGGATCTGCCTGAATGTGATACATTCTGCAACATAATTTGCACAAGTCATTTCTTGAAAGTGCATCCTACTGCGCCTCCTTTGACTGCTGCACTACAATTATCCGGGGAAATGTTGGAGCATGACAACCGAGCTGGGCTAAATCTACGGTGGCCTCGATTAGGTGGTATGCTGTGATGGTGTTAGATACGAAAGAAGTAGTAGAGAGTGCTGTACAAGCTGGTTGACGTATGTCTCTGTTTCGTGACGAGGCACCCCAACAAGCACCAGCTTTTCACTAATCGCCACAAAATGGCATGGCAGTGAGGTAGGTGGCATCAAAAACATCAGAAACTTTCTTTGAACATGTGGGAGAAGTTGCCTTCTGAGAGATGGTCTCGATTGTCCTTGTAAACACAACTTCATCGCTTGTGCTGATTTAATGATCCATGATCCATCTTTACAAATGTGCGTGTCGTCAGGAGGAAAGACAATAAAATTGCCACCTTTTGGATGAGCTGATATGATCGCCATGACGGAGTAGTGTGAGATTTCATTAGCCAATATGTTAGCACATGGATACCATCTTAGAGGACTTAGGCTACCGATTTGATTGGATAGTGGATATGAATTACCCACACATTCATCAGTACATCTATCCAATCCTTTATTTCTTCATCCATCCATTTGCTTATCGATGCTGCATCCATCTATTATTTCATTTCGTATTTATCAGTCCCCCATCTCCCCATCAACTCCATATATACCTGATTTTTAGACCTTCCTCACTTCATCCTCCAATCCACCTATCTACCCATCTTGAAACCCTCCTTTACATCTGTCTACCTAAATATCTCTACATATCTACTCATCTGCCTTCCTTCCAATCCACCTACCTTTCCACTGATTCCCTGCATGCAGTTACACTGGCCTATTCCCTTATTTGCCAACACCTTTAGCCATGAGACCAGGCGCCTTCATTGCAGTCACCGGGTCCACCGAAGCGAATTCACACGTGGCCTACACAGTGTAGCTGTAATTTCAGCCTGTTATCGACAGCAATTACACGCACACCTGGAGAGGGGTATTACCTAGAAGGAACAGCAACTTAATTACTTTCAGCTGTCACATCAATCCCAAGCCTATTTATTGAATTGCAATCAGTATCAGTGGTAAGTGGGCTAGTGCTAACAATTGCCAAATTAAAGCTCATACTTTAAGAAGTTTGCAGGAGGCTGGAATATCAAAAGGAAGGAGGTGGAATGATACAAGGAAAGAGCAAGAAACAGACGACTGCGTACATTTAAGTGAATGTGTAAAATAACATCACAGCATTACCGAGACTTTTATTTAACCGACAGAAAGGGGCATGTCGGTCTGTGGGAAGAGCCGTCCATGGAGACAAGGAAAGGAGGCAATACAAGGTGGAAGAATGCAGGCCTTTGCGAGCCTTAGTGTTTGGCTGTTAGATCGAAGATAAGAATGCCAGAGAGAGCAACCATGAGTGTCATTGCTGTCGTTGCAATAATAATTGAGCCCAGAGTACGATGGAGATGACTGCCAATGCACACGCTGCGACCATACTCCAGGAGTAGTCAAAAACTACCAGGAGGATGAAGAGGATGCTTGCAACAAGGACAATGAAACCGACTCCCATGACAGACCCAGGCGCCACAGACGATGCCGAGGACGAACAGTAACACTGCCACGAGTGCAAAGATTGCGCACATCACCTTTCCTCTCCTCCCCATCCTACTCCTTCTCCTTCTCTTCTAGCTCCATTCGTCCCGTTATATATTAATACCTAGGTCAAGTTTAATTCACAGCACGTGTCTCACCCTAGTGAGGCGCCATCAATAATGATGCGTAAATGAGTGCATCTTCACTTTGCCGCAGTGATTCTACTTCTGTCCTCAGGCGCACGATGCTTCAAGGGACCATCACAAATGGCAATCAATGTGAAAGCACATAAGGAGACCTTTTGAAATACTAGGATGGGGAACTTCACAGCGGTGGTAATGAGCACAGCAGTAGGTTCCGCTTGTGTGCACTGGACGCGGTCCACTTCATTTCGCAGTCCAGACACCTTGGGGCAGGCACGGTGGTGAGTAGCATTGTTGGTGAATATCTGCAAGGAAGAGTGTAAAGTGGTGATGACCGATGACTTAAATGTTGCATCTACAGAAAGTGCGAGCAGTCAGTACAAGACATTCTCATGGAGAACTCAACCTCACGAGTGCATCCAGTGAACATCAGGTGAGTCTTCCAACCTCGACAGTGGATTCAATTGCCTTGGTTCCACGCTTTCGAAGCAGTCTGTTTATGGAGAACTTACATGTCCTGGCTGATTTGAGTCACCTCATTAAAACACTTTGATATTGTGTGAATGGTGTTTCCCCCGCTTTTCACTTTTTGAAGTGTCACCTAAAAGCAGAACCCCCTGATTGTCCGTTAAGCCTAAGCCTCTGCATAGTGGTTGTAATTTGTGGCGTGCTAGGGGCACTCAAATGCTTCGTTTAATGGACACAGACCCAAAACCTTACTACTCCCACACCCAATTCCACAGTCTGGGAGAAGCACTAATTGTAAATGCAAAATTCCATCCTCAATTTATAATCAATCTTTGCCATGTCAATGAAGCAACATCTCAGTCCATGCAAGTTGATGAGTTGGCAGCAGTCCTATAAGCCACATAACTGATAGTTCAGTGATTTCGCGAAGCATATCAGTGAACTTTCCCAACCCCTCTGCGATTGATGAGTCTGCCGGAAGGGTGGCTAGTTGCTTACCTTAGCCTTTCACATAGACACTACGTCTGGTGGTGAGGGGTGGTGATAGACCCCTACATAGTGTGTCCACTTGCTCCTCGCCATGGAAGGCTCGCAGTTGAGGAACGGAGGCGGGAGAGGATTACACGAGGCAAGACAAGGCAAAGTGAAAGTGAAGAAGCCTTTGAGCAATTCAGTTTATGTTTACCAGATCGACAGTAAGAAGAGCAGTAAATGCAATGATATAAGACCAGAGTCGTTGCACTGTCACATGGTAAAAGGTCCCAACGATGGAGAGAACAGTAGAGGTGATTGCCAATACACAGGCTATCGTTGCACTGCAAAAGTGGTTAAAATAAGTTAGAGGATGAAAATTACGCCTGCGATGCGGATAGTCAAATCGGCACCTTTCACATGGTAATAGGCATGCTGAAGGCAAGTTTTACTTACAACGCTACCTTGACAGTCCCATCCATCCTGGTGATGACAAGGAAGAACAGAGGTGCTGCCGTAAAGGTGACAATCAGT